AAAACTTCAAGGAACCCAAAAATTTGACAAATTAAGTTTTTTAAACTTTTTTTTTTTTATAGTCACCTTACTTGTTTGTTTTTTTTGTGTTTTGGAATAGCGTAAACAGATAGGTTTTAATCCCATAACTGGTTTGCCCACTGCTTAAGGCTTTTTAGGTTAAATTTTTTTAAAACTCAGTATATAGGCCTACCTCCTTCCTACACCGCCTAACACTTTGTCCATGGAAGAATTTCAACCTGCCTTCTTTGGATTGTGAGGCAGACAAAATGTTTCCATGTGTGCCACATGGACAAATTATTAACGAAGAATTCTTCTATTTTTTAATCTCTGCTCTTAGCATTGAATTTCATTTTTTATATGATTATCTAGATGTATTAAAAAATAATTCAAATTCTTGAACAATAAATTTAGCAAATTTTAGTATTTAAAATATCTTTGTAGGAAAATGTCACTTTTTAATTAAATATCTTGTTCATGTTGAAAACACTTTTAAAAAATGGATAAGTAAGTCTAGTTTTTCATCCAAAATATAATACTTTTGGTGTATCTAAAGGCAATGTTGCTGTTGAATGAAGTTTTCTAACCAAAGTTTGTTCAAGAGTGGTACCCCTCTCCTGAAATTCAAAGAATATGCAAAACAAAAAGTCCTATTGCCTATTGCTTTATATATCACCATTCTGACAACTCCCCTTTCTCAAACTGGTTAACTTTTGCTGTGCTCTAAAGGCTCTTAATATTTAATGTTAATGGAATTTCTAAATAAGTTAACCAGGTAAAAGTAAGTTCTATCAAATTTGACTCTGATATAACTTTGATCACTTTCAGTCCCTGGGATGTGTGGTGGATTCTGTCACCTATACTCAGATTATTTGTGAAACTTTTTGTGGGTCACATTGCAGTCCCGCTAAGCAAAATGTCAGGGTGGACCTTCCAGCAGGAATAAGCTTAATCAGAGCCAGATGTGAAAAGGACAGTTGTTCATTTACTACAACAGAAGCTGAAACTGCCACTGTTACAGATGTTTCTCCAAGTTCTGTTTCTACAGGTAGGATTGTGGTTGCATAAATATAAAAATATTGAATACTAAAATGTTTTTATTTGCTATTAAAAACTTACCAATAATAACATTTTATTTGAACTTTAAAAAAATCTTAGTATAAATTTTATGGTATTTATTTCTTATGAAAATTATGTCTTAAATTTTCTATAAAATTTTGCTAGCTTCAACAACACTTACTATAACCGGCTCAAAATTTGGCAACTCTGCTGAGAAATTAAAAGTCTTGATTGGTGGTAAAAATTGTGACATTGGTGGATCTGTAGCTAAAGACAAATTTTCCTGCACTGTTGGAAGGCTACCAGTTGGGGAGAATGATGTTAAAGTCTATGTCCATGACAATGGCATTGCCAGTACAGACAAAAAAGTAACAAGTCAAAAATCTGCGGTTGTCAAATTTCCATCATTCAGCAGTATTTATGGTGGGGCATTGATGGTGATTGATGGAAATGGCTTTACAGAAGATACGACGGTTAAAATGGACACTGCTGAATGTCCTGTTGTGGAAGTATCATTATCACAGGTTAGTATGGGAAATATTACATTTTTCTTTTGAAATAATATTGTTACAAAAACATGTAGACTTAACATTTTTTCTTTAAATTTCCCTTAGGCTTAAATCCTTATAACTTTTCAACATTTAAAAAGTGTATTTCCCATGGTTTCTACCATTGAATTGTGGCTATGTGCCACTATTTGCAACTGCTTTTAGGTAACATTTTATATGCGGCAGTATGGAACAGATAGGAATAAGAGAATCCACTCTCATAGTCATAGTGTGACTGCTATGGGTAACCCCAAGCACGGACACATCCATGGTCATTTAAAGTAA